CCGGCATCGACAGAATGGCCTCAACCACCTTGGGCACATACTCCTCCTCGTCCGGGAGGATGTTCTTGGCGACGGCCTGCATGATGAAGAGCGCCGCCTCCGTGTGCTCCCAGGAGCAATCCGCCTGCAGCGCCGCGAACATCTGCCGAAACACCGCGCTCGACCCCACCATGAACACCACATCCTTGATCAGCTCCATCACCTTCATCCGGAACTCCTGCAACGACACCCCATAACATCCTACATCACATAACATACAACTTAATTACTTTACACTTTAACACTTACATAGAACTCGTCACCCTCATCTGGCAGTTTGGTGTTGTCAGGCTCGAGCTGGCAGTGACGGGCCAGGGCTTCAATAAGCCTCTCAATGTGCGGCTTGAAGGCATCAGTTAGGGGCTGCTGATCTCTCTGATATACTTCCTCTGACAGTCGGTACCACAAGTTGAAGGTTATTTCCGCTACCTATAAAGAGATATAATGAAGTAAAAACCTTAGTACTGGTGTAAAGTATGAATAGTTATTTTTTAAATGTTTGTAATTTGGTAAGTTCAATGTCTATTGTCAAAGTAACTATACTTTGACAATTGAATTTAACTTAAATATTGAATTTAACTATACAAATATTGAGTGTTTACGCTTTAAAATACTAATTTTAAAGCGTAAACACTCAATATTTGTATAGTTAAATTCAATAGAAATTTGAAATGATAACAAACCTATCTAAACAATTTTAAATATACAATTTCTCATTTCTATTGAATTTAATCATGAAGACATTGTTTTGTTTTTTAATAAAAGTATGTTCACAATTCCATAATATTGACCAAGTACTAAGCTAAGTAGCAGTACTTTAAAAACCTAAAATAATATAACTACGATTACTGACCTCATAATCATGATGTCCAACACAAACAAGTGCTAATTCTAGTGACCTCATAGCAAAATGAACTCGTCCACTCGCTGTGCAGAATACTATCTTCTCTAAAAATGTTTCCGCTAGCTCTGTGAACACTTTAGCATAATTTACAGCCTTCTCTTCTTCTTCATGGGCCACTGCCAAGTGATAGCTTTCCTCTAACGATGCTATATTGTCAAATAACAACCTTTCTATGTCCTCATTATTATTGTTTTCTTCTAAACAATGCAATAAAGCACAAATGCAGTCGGAAGCCGCATCATGCAGCAAATTTATTGAATTGTAATCTCTGAGTACCTGCAAACAAAAGCCTATCACCGCATTCTGGGGTATCTCCTCTATATGCACAGCCCGCACCTGGATCCATGATGTCATACATTTAACTATTTTCAATGATATCTGTGAATTCTGAGAGTTTGCTATGCTTTCCTTTAAAAATAAACAAACTAAATTAGAGGTAGCTCTTAGCTCATTTTTTATCTCTTCTCTCCGATTTTCACCTAATTTCAAATTCGGCGAGTCGATTTCTTGAGGCAACACAGTCAATATTTCTAGCAATGCAAATTCATTTTTTGTTGAAAACAGTTTTATGAGGTCACTAACACAATTTTGCCAATTCTGCATTTGTAGAGCCAAGTCTGCCAGAGCCAGCGAGAGTTGTGTGAGTATAGCGTTACTTGTACCAGATGCTGCATTTTCCAGGTGGGCGATTAAAGAATCTCGAAGGGACACCAGACTCTCAGAGGGCAGTTCTGAGAGGTTATGTTGTACTTTTGATCTCATGGTCTGTGCGGCAAAGTAGTAGGATTGTTCATCTTTTTTCTCTTGTAATAGTTGATCCGATATCTTCCAAGAGTGTATCTACAAAAAACAATCACATTACATTACTTTACTTCAAAAAAATATTAAGATTTTTAAGTAAATGTTGAGTAGAAAGGACAAACGGAAGAAAAGATGTAAATCAGATTAATTTACTTACAGATTTCTGGACGTCTCCGAGCCAAAGCGATGCCTTTTCCTTTTCATTTGCATTGGGGTTATCGTATAAAGCACTGATGGCCTGGTAAACAGTGTCCATTGACGGAGCCTCCATCGTAATCTATTTATAAGTCGAGAGATAATCTCAACAATTTTCTCACAAAACGTGTAAATTACTTATTTTCATATTAACACTTCGTATAAAACGAAAGGAATAATAATTGACAATAACCAAACAAGCAACGTCAAATCTTGGTCAAATCGTCAAAAGTCAAACGGATTACCTACAGACTATAAAAGCACCATAATGTTTGCAAACACCAACAAACGCCATAGAGAAGTTGAAATAAGTTATCTGTTTCGCCCATATGTCAATATCATGACAACTGACTTGTCATTATTGTCAAATCAATTGATTACTGTTTGTCAAAGTGTAGGTGGGTAATAAAAAATACATAACCACCGGTCAAGTACAAATGTTTCGCACGGCCACTTCGATTGCCCGCGGCGTTTCAGCATTCGTGAAGCAAACCTCTTGCGCGTTACACACAACTACAGCAACTATGGCTCCTGTAAAGGTAAGACCTGACCACATATTATAATTACATAATAATGCCTGGCTTAATTGACATTTACATTGCAGGTTGGGGATAAGTTGCCGTCTGTGGATCTATTTGAAGATTCGCCGGCAAACAAAGTGAATATTTGCGAGTTGACCGCTGGCAAGAAGGTGGTTCTGTTTGCGGTACCGGGAGCGTTCACGCCTGGCTGCTCAAAGACGCATTTGCCCGGCTACATTCAGAATGCCGACAAGATGAAGTCTGATGGTGTCGGGGAAATCGTTTGCGTCTCTGTTAACGACCCCTACGTAATGGCAGCTTGGGGTGCTCAGCATAACACCAAGGGAAAGGTATTTTGATGAAATTTTTGACAATTCAATTTGAATATGAATTAATTTCTGATTCTGATATATGGTACCAATAATACATTTATATTAGTGACATGCATAAAATAAATTGAACTTTATGCACAACAAAATAGAATATAAAATAACTTAAATTGGTATAAATAGTGCCTGACCTTCAACCTTACACTTGATAATGAGGTGACTGCCTTGAATAGCTTATACATGTTTTAAACAAAAATAAAAACTGATTATAAAAATGTAAATTTTACTGTTTGTAATCTCTAGATTATTGATTGCCATTTGTTGCAATATTATTTTAGAATTATATCAATTATATTACTTTGCAATATGTATTTCTAACTTGACAGATTCGCATGTTGGCTGACCCTAGTGGCAACTTCGTAAAGGCATTGGACCTCAGCACCAATCTACCACCGCTGGGTGGGCTTCGCTCCAAACGCTTCTCCATGGTGATTCAGGACAGCACAGTCCAGGAGTTGAATGTAGAGCCAGATGGCACTGGACTGTCCTGCTCCCTCGCTGACAAGCTTAAATATAAGGAGTAAATTGTATTCCCAGTTATTCATACTGTATAAGTTATTTTTTCATCAAATCATCTTGGTGACCTTTTTTATTGTTTAGGATCACTTGTAGTTTTATTGCGTATTCAATTGTATGTTAAATGCATATCCTGTTTGCTTTTGATTAACATTTTCTCATTAATATGTTAATTTAGCATTTTCCAATATCAACTTATTTGATACAAAGTGTCAAGTAATCATTACTTATGGTAAAAAGTTAAAACAAGTAGTTCAGGTAACTTAGTTATCTGTCTACATTTTTATGTTTAGTTTAAAATTAACTTGTTGATTTATATTAAAATGGGTTGGCAGGTTCCTTAAAATTTCTATTATGCATTTGTAGAGTTAATTGCTTCATATCAAAAGATATAATCTCATAAATTGTCTGAAAACACTTAGCTTTACTCTCCTTATAGACTGTTGAAGCACTCCTTGTGATAAAAGAAAAATAAATATTGGATTTAGACATAAAAATGAGTTTCATTATTATTATCAATTATAATCCTACAGTACAGTCAGCTGCACAAACATGTTTGCACTAGCTTTCGCCTGTGACTCCGTCCGCATGGCTTTGAAAAAAATACAAAAGTGAGCAGACTATTTTTTCCTCCAGAATGATCGTTCTATGCTAAATTTCATTGATATCAGTATCGTAGGTTACGAACTCAAACAAACATTCACCACAGATTTCGCACTTATAATATTAGTAAGATTTACTAAATTCAGAAACTCGTACATGTCTTCAAATTCATGTCTGCAAGTATTTATCTGTGTGTGATAGATATTTATTAATAAGGTGATATATTTTTAAAACCAATAGAACTTTACATGTTTGTGAAGTTTTATATGTATTTATGCATCTGACTGTACATCTCTTGTCTCATTGTCTATTATACAAAGGACCAAGTTATTTAAAGTGAACACCGATAAACGATTTAAATAGCGATACTATGTTTTCACTAATAAAAGCCTTTCGTATAGCAAATACAGCAGGAAAATATCAAAGTTTGTTAAAAAAAAAAAAAGTGTAAAAATATGTGTATCTGTGAAAATCTATTTTAAAAATGTTAGCAGCTATTATTTTCCTACGCTGATAGTTGCGGGCGCTAGTACTAAATTATTAACGCCATGTGCTGTTACTTCGTAATATCGATTAAACCTTGAACGCAACATTCACTACGATATATAGCTCAGTAGTTATGCTGTACTTTTAACTGACAATACGGAAAAGTGTAAAAAAAGTTAAAAGGTGCATTTTTCAAATATGACCTTTGTCTTATAAAGTAACTAGCTTTTTCCCGCGACTCCGTCTGAATGGAATTATAAATAAACAAAAGCAAGTAGCTGTGTTCTTCCAGACTGTCCTCTACATCTATGTCAATTTCACAGATTCGTTTAGGCTACAAACTCTTAACAAACATCCATCCATCCATCTAAACTTTCACATTTATAATATTAGTAAGTAAGATAAGTTTTGTATAATTCTCTCAAAATAAAACACACATTGATATTATAATAATCTTTATAGTCAATATTAGTATGTATATTACAATAATTAACAAGTCTTCTTATTTTTGGGGCTGGACAGTGTTACGAAGTTGACTCTGCGCGGCGCTTTAGGGCTGGGGACAGCTTTCAGCGCCACTGGCTCTTTTATATCTGTCACCTGAGGAAAAATATAAAAAATGATATTATACTAGCTTTTGCCCGCGACTTTGGCCATGCGGATAAAAAAAACTTAATAAGCTGTGTGTTCTGGTCGTGATATGGATTTTAGGTCAATATTATAAAAAAAAGATTTTTTTTTCTATTATAATTTTTTTTTATTAAAAAATACAGAAACAAAAATGTTACCTTTGCCTGTTTTAGGAAATTGCTTTCACTTATTTTATTCGAAGTTGGTGTATCACATTTTGGTGAGATTTTTTTCTGTTCAATTTCTGGTGATTTTTTATCCATCTGTGTGTCTTCGTACACTAATTTCATATCTTCAGAATCTTCTATGATCATTACTTCTTCGTCTTTATCTATTTCCATTGGTTCTTCAGTTTTTGGTCTGATAATTTCATTATTGGAACTATCAGACCACGAAGACATTGCAGTTTCCACAAGTAAATCCACTTTGACTGGTGTTTTTTGCTGTATTTTGTCTATTTTCTGCTTTTTAGGAGATTCATCGGGCGCTTTGAATTTAATAAAGGAATCTATTTTTGGTATATTAGATGTTTTCGTTGGTTTTATATTGTCTTCTTGTTTATTTTCCTTGTTAGTTGGTTTCGTTGTATCTTTTTCGATTGAATCTATAATAAAATTATGAATATAAAAAAAAATCGTAAAAAACACTCATTTGTTATTTTTTTACAATTTTGAATGAAAATGACAGATGTGTTACAGTCCTGTACAGTATTTGGCTATGTAATACCTGATAGTATTTCGTCTTCAGGCAGAGGCTCCCCGAGCTCCCCCTCAGCGAAGGTGATGATGGAACAGAAGCCGTCAGTGCTGGAGGCGACCAGCACGCGCCCGTCAGACGACCACGTCAAGTCTGTTAGTCTGGAATATATATATAAAAAATTGAGATCCTAATATTGTAAAGGTTTAATTTCATTAAAACTATAAATGCGAAAGCTTTAAATCTCGATGAAATTTGGCATAGACGTCTACATGTAGCCTATGTCTTCTTCCAGACTATCCTTTAGGATCCTCTAGGTTAGTCTGGAAGAACTCATGGGCTACACGCTTTTGTTTTCTTATTTTCACACGGGCAGAGTCACGAGCGAAAGCTAGTAAAGCTAAATTTACCTTTATTAATGTTATCGTATATTAATAATTATGTATTTCATCTATACTAAGATTATAAAGGGGAAAGATTTGTATTTTTGTATGTATTCGATCCACGTAAAAACTACTGGGCCGATTTTAAAAATACTTTGACCATTAGAAAGGTAATTTATCTGTGAGTGACATAGGCTATATTTATTATAATTTTTGGACGAAGTCGCGGGCAACAGCCAGTAAAATGAAGTGAATATCAACCTGGTATAGTGTATGTTGGAGATAAGTGCGATGGGCGTCCTCTGCTGCGTGTCGTAGAGCAGCAGCGAGCGCTTGGTGGCGACGGCGAGCACGAGGCGCGAGCGCGTGCGCAGCGCGGCGGGCGGGCCGGCGCCGCGCGCCCCGTACCGCAGCGGCGACCAGCGCACCGCCAGCGCGGGCTCGCCGCACGGCACCACGCACGCCGGCCTGCACAGTATTATAAAGTGCCACCTGAATCCGCCAAAATGTCGAAGCGACCGCTGCCCGAAGACATTCGCGATAGCGGATGCGTTGCCTACCCTTAATCGACGGAGGAGACGCACATAAAGAGGTTATTTCCTCTTCCTATGCGTCTCCACCGTCAAATCCACGTTCCCTTTCCATCTTATTACAATAAAAAGGATGGGAAGGAAAAGGGACTAAAGTTAGGTCTCCAACACACTCATAAAACGAAACGCAGGATTGTTCCTATCTCACTCCTATCTTCTGTGTGGTTGTGACGTTACACCGTGCGAGCCTACCTATTCATACCAAGATGTTAAAGCGAGCTCTACCACTGTTAAAGTTGATTCGATCATGTCCACAGTAGGATTTTATACAACTTGAATATAACATATAGGATAAATAAATGTTTACAAAACTATGTCAACTGCTCAGTTAAGCACACATTAGAACTCTTGAACTGTTCCTAATTGATATCAAGTCATGTTAGCATAAATATGTCCCCACACTGATGTAACTTTAGCTAAAATGTATTTAAAACATCGTCTAAATTTGATAATAATAAGGCCCTAATAGCCGGTTTCCCAGTTGTGTTTAACCATTTGTGTTTCTGTTTCGATAAATTCACGAAATGCCACGAAATTCTTAACTTAAGTTTTACCATTTTGCAACTTAAGTCAACCTAACACTAATGAATAGTTAGGTATTGACATAAGTGGTAACTTCAGAAACTCAGCATTAAGTGACAACTTACACTTTTAAGGAGTATCTTGTGTAAATATAAACAGCATTGATTGGTTTGACATCCATCTTGGCTTGCTCCGGCTCGATGCGGCCGGCGGGCACCGCTATCAGCAGGCCATCGGGACTGAACTCCAGCCTTCGGTAATATGTTTGTAGCGTATCATCGTGGTACAGACGGACTTTGGTGTCATACAGCGCATGGTCTTTCGGAAAGGGCAGGACCGCTTTGCTACTTTTAGATACGACTTTCTTAGTTGCTACATCAAATATGCGAAAAGTCCTGAAAAAAATTATTATTAACTGGATTTGTGAATGCAATTTTATCTGTATGGAATCATACTAATATTATAAATGCGAAAGTTTAGATGGATGTTAGAGTTTGTAGCCTAAACTGCTGGATGGATTTTGATGAAATGGTATAGGTGTAGAGGATAATCTGAAAAAACACATAGGCTACTCACTTTTTTTTTATTCCACGTGGACGGAGTCACGGGCGAAAGCTAGTTATAAATAAAGTTAGTAAGTAGCATATGTTTATGTTGAGATTATAAACTACATCTGTGTAAAACTTAATTAATATCTGTTAAGCTGAATTTGAGATATGTAATAACACACATTCATGTGTCCATACTTTCGTATTTATAACATTAGTATGATATATGATGTAGGAAGTATAACTAAAACAGCAAAATATTAAGTTATACAAAAAAATCTCATTTGACTATTTCTATCAATTTTATACATGTTACTAACCTATCACTACTAGCTGAAGCAATAAACTGCCCTTTAGGGTCCCACGAGACTCCTTGCACAAAGCCCTGGTCAGTTGAAAGACAAGTGTATTTGCCTTTTGCAATATCCCACATGAGTAGTTTGTTATCCACTGAGCCGGAGGCGAGGTGCAATGAGTCAACACTCCAACTTAAGTCCAGAACATCCTCGACATGTCCTCGCAGTGTCTATATAACAGAAAGTATCAAAAGTCCTAAGCTAGAAGAGACATTTAGAGTAAAAAAAGATAGGAAACCAAGAGGCAACTTGAATTCAACATAATTAACTTACTTTATGAATAACCCAATTCTCCTTATATTGTTCTTCGCCGTCTTGTGATGAAGTCGCTGACTCTTCAGTTTTAGGCTTCCAAATAAATATAATCGATTCATCATCGCCTGATGCAAGTAATTTTCCATCTGGAGACCATCTCACGACATTTACTGATTTCTGGTGGCGTGTTAAGTCAGCTGCTACCTCTAACTTGATAGAACCGTTTTCTGTTATAGAGATATGCCATATCTAGAAAAAAATCAAATTAATGCAACAATTACATAAAAGCTATTTATTTATATTAAAAAATGAATATTACCAAAACATGAGTATCTGTGCCCCCAGAAGCTAGCCGCAATGGTTCGTTCTCGTCACATTTAGGTTGAATATCTACGCTTAGAACAGGATCTCGATTATGCCATGATATTTCAGGAATTGAAAACTTCATTTTGTATGATGATTAACTATAAAGTATAACAATATATGTTGTTACTGATTAAACTTATTTTACATCAAGAAATATACTATTCTATTTTAAATTATTGTAAAGTAAACAAATATATTTTTCTGTCAGACAAAGCATAGAAGTTTTGGCTTTTGGCGCGAAATTGATTTGACATTTGACTAATAATAATAGTACAGATAACTTACACAGAGACAAGTATTTTGGGAACTGAATTAAAGAAAATGTGAACGAATACTTCATTTTAAAACGTTGAAAAATCACGGTTGGAATTTAAACAGTGTAAAAATTGTCTGTCTGCTTAATTCTTGCAAATTCTTTCAGTAGAAACGAAATTGTGTTTGGTTATATAGAATTTTAATTTCAAGTGGCAACACTACAAGATCCTTCAATTCATAATTTTTATCTCGCTCGCTCTTTCACTGACGTTTGGTTGATATTGTAAAACGCCAAAATGGTTTGTGTTTCAGATTCTTACATTTATCCATAAAAATCTTTGTTTGTGTTCAACTAAAACAAAATAATCGTTAAAATTAAGTAATATGAGTTTTATGTTGAAAAAATGGTAGCCGTATTTTCATCCCCGGTCATTACTATTCCAGGTGAACGTACCAAAACAGCGCAGGACTTACTGCAAAAAATGCAAGTGCCACAAGGTACATAAAGTGACTCAGTACAAAAAGTCCAAAGAAAGGCATGCTGCGCAAGGTAGAAGGCGTTACGACCGTAAACAGCAGGGTTATGGTGGTCAGTCCAAACCCATCTTCAAGAAAAAGGTAAAAACATAACCTCAATTTTCTTATCTCTATTTACATGTTTTCTAAACGTGATTTATAGTGTGTTATCGTTAATTTTGGACTTTTCATTCATATTTTTTTTTTCATTTATATTTGCAAATATAAACAATAATGTTCATTTGAAGATTCAAGATAGTTGCACTAATAACAGTCCAAATTATGGCCTGACGGACAGTAGTAGATCTCTTACCGGTTTTTACCAATAATTATTCAGAGTTGTTGTTAAATATCCTATAGTAAGTAACGGAATTCAAGCTCACTCTGGTTGAATATCTTATTTTATTAGTAACAAATACATTTCAAAGCCTTTGGATATAAAGTAATATTGATTGAAATTTGATTTCAATAAACATTCGTAAATTATTTCCATTACTAAGAATTGAAGGAGTTACTAATAAATCTAAAAACAAACACACCACCATTCTTGAATTGGCAATTTTTTTTAGGCGAAAACCACAAAGAAAATCGTACTCCGTCTGGAATGTGCAGACTGCAAAGTGAGGTCTCAGGTAGCACTGAAGCGCTGCAAACATTTCGAGCTGGGTGGAGACAAGAAGAGGAAGGGACAGATGATCCAGTTCTAAGCTGGTTAATAAATAAGTCAAAAATCTAATTTGTACTTTATTTAATTAAATTTCCTCTTTTAGTTTATGTTACAATAAATTTAACTTAAATTCGAAATTTACGTTTTAAAGGAGCAGTTTTTATTCATTTTCAATGAATTCTTTACAAAGAAAAATTTTGATCACAACAATAAAATTATTTGCTTTTACAAGTATATTTTTATATATTGGACTACCAAAATACTTGTAAAATGTAATACATGATAGATTTACTTAGACTAGGTGTAAATATATATTGATGAAGAAGTCGTGGCGCTCATAGTGCCAAGGTACACGAGTTCCCATCTCTTGATGGAGTTTAAAAGGGCCGCGGATATGTGGGTGCTACAGTAGGAAGAACCTTGGTCACTGGCGTTTACTGCGCCCCTAGCAAAAGCCTCGAAGAGTTTGAGAATTTCCTTGACCAGGGCGAAATTCTCTTACTCTTGGCCAGATCACTCGACATCAACAAGAGGGTTTGCCATGCTATGTGCATCGATGACACGATGATGAACAAGGCTACCTACCACAGAAGAGATAAGACATTACGATAGTCGGACGGAGCTGGGAAAGCCGTTCAAACCTACTGTGAGGAGGTCATCAGACCAGTCGGGATGCAAACTGCAGCCGCCGCAGAGGAGGGGGTATAAAGGCGTTTGCCCGGACCTTGCCCCATCCATACTCGAGTGGCCAGTTAAGGGGAAGCTCGCCACTTAGATAGAGTAGAGGAGGAAGCACTGGTTTCCTCCGCAAGAGGTCTATAACAGTTTGTATCCTCCAGCCTATTGGGAGAGAGTCCACCGTAACCACCGCGCCTTTCCCTTCTTAGGGCGCGGTAGTATGCGTAAAGCATTTCCCTACGCAAAAAAAAGGTGTAGATATATATTATGTTATTTTTGAATATATTTCTTATTTTTTCAATAAACGTTCAAATTCATCTGGGTCTAGTCCTTCTATAGAGACCTTTAATTTAACAGCTTGTACTGGCACACCAACATGGACCAATTTTATAAATCGATCATACTCAGGTTTCGTCACAGCATCAGTGGTCTGAGAGACATCAGGCTTGTCATCAATTTCTTTGTCTTTTTCAACAGCTTCTGCTGTGTCTTCAGATTTTATTTCAGAATTATGAGATTCCATTGTTTCGTTAGTTTGAGATGTTTCATTGATTTCTGGTACTGATGAGAGCTGAAAAAATAGTCTATTACACATTTTAAAAATTATTAGTAATTAATTTTAAACATTATTCTATATATTCAATATAAAGTCGCTGGTAATTTATATATAACAAAATTTACCCGAGCTTCTAATAAAACCATTGCAGCTTCAACTTTCTCCAATTTCTGTTCAAACTGCATTAACTTCTTTTCACATGTTTTTGAAAAAGTGTTCAGAAATTGTACTGTAGTTATCACAAAATGGTTTAAGAATGCAAGTGTTCGTTTTTGCTGTAATGCTCCAATCTAAAATTTGTAAATTTGAATTGTTGTATTTCCAAATATTGATTAAACTTCTTCGATGTCTTAAAAACTTACTTTAGAAAGATCCAATTTTTCTATTTCCTGATTAGAAAGTATGTCTTGCATTTTGACTTAGTTCAGCTCAAGTTCTAATTGAATAAATAATACTATCTGTGCTCAATATATTAATTTGGTCTCAGAAATAAATATACAATTACATCGAGAAAAAATAATTTACATTTTCTTGTTCTAAGTTTTTTTTTTTTAAACTAGTTCAATGTGCGTGTCAAAATTACTTGGGAATATTCAGTCACTACTGTCAATGGGGTAAAATTATGAAAATATTTTCATATTATTATTCATTAGTTTTATTTGTTTCATGACTTTATTTTTGAGTTTCAGTATTAAAAGGAAGCGATTAGCATCTCTTTTTCCAAACGAAAACTTTAACAAAACGATAAATTACAAAAGTTGGTCAAGCTGATTGCCGTTGGCTGAATTTTAAAATAGTTTTGTCGAATTGAAGCCGTCATCTGTCGGTCAACTCAACTGTCACTTTCTTGCAGACAACAAAGTCATAACACAACACAATATTTGTTGTGCAAAAAAATATTATTTCAACGCCGTAGGCTAATGTATTTTATTTTCAAATAATTTAGGATAGAAAATGGCAGGGGAAGTGATCGTGGATGCTCTACCGTACATTGATCAAGGATACGATGACCCCGGAGTCAGAGAAGCGGTAAATATAGTGATTTTTTAACAGCCGTAAGCCGTTTTGGAAAATGGGATTATTATTTAATCATAAATGGACCGAATGCAAAAAGTTGAATACAAGTTATTTGTGTACTTTATTAAAAAATGTTATAACATGAATTTATAACCTTACTTCTACCTAACAAGTGCTTATCAATCTTCCAATGCATATAAAATTATTACATATTTTTTATAGGCGTTGGCTATGGTAGAGGAGGAATGTAGAAGGTACAGACCGACTAAGAATTATCTTGAAAACACTGGACCAGAACTGAGCACAGCATTTGAGACCCCTGCCTTGCAGCGGGAGATGGAAAGGGTGCAACAAAGATTGCCAATGGAGCCACTTTCTATGAAAAGGTAATCATTAAGGAATGTCTTGTTAGCTTTTAAAAAGCTTTGTATTGATACAATTCTTTTTAAACTTAACTTTATTGTGTTAGCTTTTTTTTCAACCATGTTTTGAAATTATACATCTTTGTTTTTTTAAAGACTAAAACTATATGTTACTACTGTAGCTAATTTAAATATTTACTGCATTTAGATATGAGTTGCCACCACCACCAGCTGGAAGGCTAGGTGAACCAACAGCCTGGTCGGAAGCAGTAGACAACTCCCATGCACAGCTGTCTCACCAGGCAACGAGAGTACTCAACTTGGAGCTGCAGTTACATTATGGGACTGAGGCATGGAGATCATATCTAAATGTTCTCCAAGCTCTGGTCTCTCGGTCACAGAATGAGCACACACAATTAAGGTTTTTTGGGCAAATTGATCATATGTAGTTTATACATGGCATCAACAATTAATTTCCCAATGTTTTCTTTTTTGTTAAATCATCATCTTTCTCCTTATCCTACTCCTGTAGGATAAGCGCAACAGGTTTTTGTTTACCACATAACTCTATCATACATTTTCTATTATATTAAATGATTTGAAAAAAAATTGACATAGGAAGCAAATAGCGACAGTAAACTGGGAGCGCAAGCGGTCGCAAACGGCGAGTGGGGCGCGGCTGCGTGCGCTGCGCCGTCGCTGGGCGCAGCTCGTCTCGGACAACTACCGCCTCGAGCGTGCCATCATGCACCTGGAGATACAATTGGAAAAGGTCAGTTGCAACATGTTTTGGAGTTAATTTATAGGACTGGGATGACAATAGGTTTTTACTTTTTAAGACCCTGTAACTAATTATGCGTATTATTATGGGTAAGCAGAGATAAAATCTGAAGTAATCGTGACCATACCTTAGATGTAAAAAGTAGCTTAAAAAGCAATAAAACATGTCTTACAAGCATGTTATTCTAAATGTTTTTAATTATTTCATTAGGCTAAAGGACAAACGGCCGCTGAGGATGGTGAAGGTGCAGACATGGAAGCTGTCAAATTGCTGCCAGACAAACTTAACTCTGAAACCGAGAAAGAAGTGCAAAAGAAAATAGAAGATATGTTTGCTGATTAGTAAATAAAATAATGTAGCAATTTTATTTTTTGTTTTTTTTTTTTTATACTGTAATCGACATCATTACACTTTGATTATCCCCTTTTTGTAGGTCATTTCGGTACAATTTATCATTACGATTTCCCTAAACATGGTAAAACCATTATTTGTTAGCTTGATTCTCATTTTTCTGAACGTAATTCTTGTTGTTTTGAACGATTGTCAATTGTTGTCATGTGTCAAAAATATTTTTATTAAATTTGAAAATGGCGGACGATGCATCGAGCAGTAGCGGTTGCACCGGCAAGTTAGTTGATAATTCAATAAATCAAGATGAGCTGATAATGAAACAACAACGGGAAATAGAGAAGGAGGTAGGTTGTTCATTTTTATGTGCTTATCTATATTTTAGACTTTAACTTATCTCCAGAATAAACAATAACAACATCGTGTTTATTTGTTTTTAGATCTCTGAGTCGATACCTCTTGTTGGCGATCTAGAAGTTTTGTCGTCACTAGAAAAAGAATACACTGAGGATCCTATATATCTTTTAAAAGTCAAAGATCTCTCTTCGAAATACAAATACATTAGAAGAACACGTCCTGACGGCAACTGCTTCTTTCGGGCGTTCTCGTACGCTTATTTAGAACATCTTCTGACTGATAAAGCAGAGTACGATAAGTTTTATGATATAGCAAAAAATTCAAAAGATACATTGGTTGCGTTAGGATTTCCACAATTTACAGTTGAAGACTTTTATGAGACGGTATGTAATTTAAAGGTTATGTTTTGAAGTTTCTTGCTGACTCAACCAATATTTTTTTAAATAAAAGTCTACAAGAATATAATACTTAAGTGCTTATTGTATTATTTCATTTACATTTTACTCAACTCTTAAATGTAGGATTTATTTTATTTTTATGGAGATAATTACCAAATAAATGCAGCAAATTATTGATTTACCCTTTAACAGTATGTAAACTACTAATTGTGACATTTGTATTTTTGTGTTTACAGTTCATTGAAGTTGTTCAAAGAGTAGGTGAACAAGCGGGGAGCAGTTCTGCAGGGCTGGATACAGTGCGTGAGGAACTCCATGACAAGTTCAACAAGCAGGGTTACTCTGACTACATTGTGGTGTACCTGCGTCTCGTCACCTCCGGCCAGCTGCAGATGCAGCACAACTTTTACCAGAACTTCATAGAAGGCTCCAGAACTGTTACTGAATTCTGTAGACAGGTTTGATATTTAAATTGTAGGAAAGTAAGAATTTTAATAAATTTTAATAAGGAGGCCAAAGATAAGGTAGACAGAATTATTTACTGAGTATTTGTGAAGAATTATTTTATTACCAAACATTTTTAAAATTATAAATACATAAGTATGGCTTCAAATTTCAATTTGTCGCAAACAGCATTGGAAGCCATAAAAGTTGCTTTATTGAGGCCATAGTAAAGCTTGTGAAGAAAAAACAAGTATTTGTATGGCTACATTATAACAGAAATGGCTTTAAACATGTGTATCGTAAAATTAAAATTATATTTTTGACCTGATTTAGGATAATATAGTCTCTTTGTCTTATTACTAATCTTACTAATATAAATGCTAAAGTTGTTTTTTTAATTTGTGTGCAAATGCTAGTGTTATATATTTTTGTATGTTATGTTTCAGGAAGTTGAACCTATGTATAAAGAGTCTGACCACATTCACATAATAGCTCTCAGCAATGCTCTTAATGTGGGTGTGAGAGTCAAGTACATGGACCGCGGGGAGGGAAGCCAGGTAATAAAACATTTATTTTATAAAAACACTATTTTGTACATCATAGCTTAAATTGACTGATTAAAAAATATCTGGCAAAAAATAAAATTTCCTATTAGTTAAGATTTGTTCTCATTTGACGTATTTTACTGGCTAAGCAGAGACATTAAGATTAGCTGAATTTGGCAAGTTGGTGGGATTGTATAACACCAACCTTCCTAGAAAACGTGACGTTCAATTAGCGATATCACTGATTTTTTGCGTTGCTTGCTAATCGAAAGTAACTTTGTCTAAGGAGGCAGGACTACATTTCAATGCATTTAACCACTTTTTCAAAATGGGATATTTTATGTATAAGGTCGTGTGAATACAGCAGTAAATGTATGTGCAGGTGATAGCGCACGAGTTCCCCGAAGGCGCGAGGCCGCTGGTCCACCTGCTGTACCGGCCCGGACACTACGACATACTGTACGCCTGATCTCCACTCCGACACACATTGCTAACATAATAAATTTAATTACATTTATTTGATGTTTTAATGTACCTTATTAATTAGAAAACAGAGAAATGCTGTCGCTAGGCGGGATTCTAAGATAAAACATTTGTAATCTATTATCATATAATTCAGTTTGCTGTGCATTTGTTGAAATCCGAATTAGTTTAACCGGATATTTCACACCCTTCGCGTGCGACTCCGTCCGCGTGGAATTATTAAAAACAAAAGTAGCTTATGTGTTCTTTCAGACTGCGCTACATCTATGCCAATTTTTATAAGAGATCCTTCCAGCAGTATTGGCTATACTTTCAATATCCATCTATCCATCAAAATTAGGTGGAGTCCTGGTCGAGCACTGGTTTTTTGTTTAAAAACTTTCGCATTTATAATATTAGTAAGAAGTAGTTATCCAGTGTGTAGTCATGTCGATTATTTTTCAAATTTAAATAAAAATAATTGAAATATAAAACTATAGCGCAAAGATAAGCTTTATTCATAAAAATTGTTTACAAAATCTGGTAATATCTTAAAAGGGAATAAAAGTCATATTTTAAAACACGACAAAATTAAAACTATCATTTACTGTTCCAATCTCGAAAGTTACAACACATATTAATGCAATTTATAGTTTTCAATCACATATGTGGAAGAATTAATTGGGAACAACCTACTAAAATAATGTCTGCAACACTCAGTTTTTACGGAAAAGTTTGACTGTTCAGTTAAAACTGTCAGAACTGAGAATATTTAGCAGGCTTTAGAATATTTAAACAGTAATACTAAATTAAATCACAAAATAAATGAGAAAATCTTATCAATAAATTTTATCTGCAGAAATATACTCCATCAGGCTCCCGTTTTGGCTTCATACCCGCAAAGAATGCTTTTATATCCTCTTCTTTAACAACCTCCTTTTTAAGCATAAAACTCTTTAGGAAATCAGACAATTTCTCTCTCATTTTGTTATACTCTGTGACTGCATTTATTTGCTGAATGCGGTCAAGAGAGGACAAAGCCTGTAAACCTTTTTCATACTGAGAATTTCCATTACTCCTTTCTTTTCCTAGCATTTCATATGCAGCGACTGTGTCCTCACAATCTGTAAGAAATAGTACAGACAAATCTTTGTACATGGAAAGGCATTCATTACACGTACAGAGTTTCTGTCGGAAATTTGATGGCCAGAATGTTGCCCCTTTTAAGTGTCTTTTTCCCCTTGGCCTGATACAACTTTTACTCTCATCGGTTTTTATCCTTTTAGCACCATCATCTTTATCTTGTATTGATAATTTCCTTTTGTTTTCATTACTACATGCGACAGTTTCTTCAACATTCTCAGTATTAGCTTTTTTGTTAGTTTCATCTACTATAGAATTAGTTTCTTCATCTTTTGTACTGTCTTTTGCAATGCTCATTGAATCTTCATTAGTAAACAGCTTATCTTCAGTAATTACATCTTGTCGTGTGTCCGTTTCTTCTGTATTTATAGATTCTAACTTACTATTTTGTTCACTGCTTGTTTCAGAGTTGTCTTGACTTGTTTGTAATTCTGTTTTACTTGAATCAATTTCTTCATTCTTTTCGACATCCATTTCTGTGCTTTCTTTCGTATCCAGTGATGTTTCTAGAGGTGGTATATTTTCCGTAGCTAACACTGCTTCCGCGGTTGTATCTATGGCAGGTTCATTAGTTGTATCCATTGCTGGTTCGTTAGTTTTATTTATAGATGGATCATTGGTTGCATCTATGGCTGGTTTTTTAATCGTATCTATAGGTGCTTCATTGGCTGTATCCATAGCCGATTCATTGCTTGTATCCATAACAGGTCCATTAGTTGTGAGTACAGCTTGTTCATTTGCTGTATCCACAGCCGCTTCATTGGTTGAATCAGTCACTGGTTCCTTGTCACTTTCAATATTTGATTTTGTTATACCTTTTTCGATTCCACCTTCCTGTTGGTCATTAGGCCTGTCTGTGTCAGTAGGTTCTTTTAGTAGTTCTTCTTCCAGTTCCAGTTCATAGTCTCTAATATTTTTAGATTCCTTAACATCTGTGACAGGGATATCATTATCACTTTTAGCTTTGTCTGCAACAGTTACACCTGTGTCTTGAGTAGTAGGCTGTACACTTTCTTCTTTGTTAACGTTTTTTGCTCCATCTTCATTAGTTTCTTTAATTGGTGTTGAATTCTTATTATCTGGAAGATCACTTTTACAATCAGTTTCTTTCTGGTCAGGACTTAGTGTGGAATTTTCTATAATTTTTCCCTCTGTCTGATCTTCCTCAGTTTTGGCCTCTACGGTTTCAATAGTGGAATTTTCATTTCCTTCAACTTCTGTCGTTTTATTGGTATTAAAATCATTACTTGTGTCTTTACTTTCTACTTTTTCCAATATATTTGTGGAATTTTTCATTGCATCACTTTCAGAATTTATTTCAGTCTCATTTTTGTTTTCAGTATTAGGTGGAACTCCAGCACTTGTAGATTCACTTACATTTACGTCTGCCTCATCTTTCATTTCTATATCTTGTTCTTTAGTTTTTTCCAATGTACCCTCACTTTCTGGAATGCCATTTGACACAACAGCACCACTACTGTTGACAATGTCAATATCTACATTTTCAGCTGTAATGGCTAAACTGCTATAATCATGCAAAAAATTATTTTTCTCCATGCAATCTTTACAAATCATTTCAGCATATGCTTCATCGGGGACAACTGCATCTAAATGTGATGCATGCAGCCAATCTTCACAGATTACACATTGAATCATTTCATCTTCTGTTGTAGAATCTGGATCAGGATAAGGTCTATGGCAAGTGCAGTATAATCCACTGTAGTTCTGGTTGTATGTGTTGTCTTCGTTAAGGTCTGTTTTATTAGCATTGAATTGGCAAGGATGCGAGTTGAACTTGGCATTACCGCAGTCACAGCGGAAGTTCCTCTTAGTGTACAATTCAATTAACTCATGGTTTTCATGGCAGGTCAAACTGCAAGCCAGACAGACGCCGGCTCTCTTCAAAGGATCAATTTTAGCATCAGAACAGCATGTCATACATGCATAGATTGCTTGCCTTTTCACATAACCCTGGAAATTATAAAACTCTTAATTTATTTATATTCATTCATGTCTGTAGCAATGATTTTGTAATTTAAAGTGTGCAAGCATGCTAACATTCTTACTGTTAAGGAAAACATTCTGATGCAATCTACACATATCAGCAAAGGTATTTAAATATAATTTAAATTAAATATATGTGTGTGAAGACAACCCGCACAGAGCCAGTGTGGTTGACTATGGTCTAGTCATTGTAAACTTAGGCTCTGAGCCCTTCAGTGGGGATTCACAGTGAACTGATGATGATAATGATTCGTATATACCGAGATATAACCATTAAAAATTGTGTCAATATAGGTAATGTGTCAGAGTTTTGTACTTTTTTAAGTACAGGATAACATTGGCTATAAATTATTTTGTGTGAGTTTAAATTGGTATAATATGTTGGTACAACTATTTTTTGCAGTAAACTGATCCCAGTATTTTGCAATGTTTATTTATGTATTTATTTCTGTTATATATAAAAACGACTATATTTACATATTACGACATTATGTAGTTTATTGCAAATGTCTTTCTATTTTGCTTGTTTCGTATAACAATTATTTCCCCATGGTATTTAAGATGTGCTTACAAAAATGTTATTTTATAGCAATATAGTTTACTACGAATCTTCACCTCTAACGTTTTTTTCATAATAGAGATTATTAATATAAAAATAAACCAAACATATGAAACATTTTTACAAAAAACAGTGTGTGTTAGGTCAATTAAATATCTTACCTTATTGTAAGAACAATTTTTATCATCAGATGCACCGAGAACAGCATTAGCGTCCTCTTCAAAATCTTGTTCTTCTTGCAAAACATCCAACATTGTCACGACCTTGTCTCCGTCGTATTCAACCATTTCAGCGTCTTCAGATGTATTTGTTCCATTCGTTGCCATTTTACCCTTTGTAGGGTGCTTTACTAAATTTTATTCCAGGTTTCTTTTACCACTGATTACAAAAACTGTCGAAAGCCGGTTGCTAAAGGCGCCAACAATTTTTTCTTTGCATTTGCATTTGCTTCAGTGTTGCTAATGAAAATTTTTATCCAGTCGTGTACATCGGGTAAAAAAGCCGTGTTTATATGGGAAAAGATCATCGGTGGATGGGCTGTAGCACTAATAAAAAAAGGGAAAATTTTTCAACATTAGCTAAATATCGCTATTATAACGTTTTTTTTTTATCAGTGAATTCTGGCATAATCGCCACTCCTTATTTTATGAAATCCTAAAGCATTTATTTGAATTTAATTGTTCTCGGTACAAATCATTGTTAATCAATGACTTTTTTTTATCGATAAGTTATAGATCGATTAATTTTAGAGATTTTCTTGAAATAGAGTTTTTATTATTAGGTATTTTCTTTTTAAAGTTATTTTTCCAGTCTGGCTGGCTTTTATAAATAAAAAAATAAGATAAAAGCATTTACTATTATTATTATTATAGTCAAAATGTATTAATTGAAGAAAAAAGAATAGTGAATAATAGTATTAAGGTAGGATAAGACGAAAGATGGTGATTTATTAAAGAAAAACAATAAATAATTGTAGATTTCGTAAAGCAGCTACGGCCTTAGGGTTGCGGCTGTAGGCAAGTAGGTTTTGTATTTTGATGGCTCGAAAGTCGTAAAACACGGCAATTGCCGTAGCAATGGCAACACTAATTTGCACATCAATCAATCAACAATGGACGGTTCCAAAGACAAATAATAAAACGGAACTCAAAAAAAAATATAATAATGGTGCCGTTTAGATAATTTTTTTTTAGAGGTTTGTTATTTAGTAATTTCCGAAACTAAAAGAGCGCCTATCGGACACTACATTAAACTTATCGGACTATGTCACCAACATAAGCAATTGGGCGTAAAGAGTAAAACAGTCTGGGGAAGGCGAGGGGCCATCAGTAATATGGTCTTATAAAAAATAGTTTCTTTATCTATTTTACAGTTTTCGTATCCAATTATGAAGGCAATAATACTTTATTGATAGGTCGGTTAAGGCAAAACTTATTTACTCCACTGACGAAATAAACATGCACAATAAAATATGTCTGTTACTGTTACAAATTAAATAATCTCGACAGTATTCATTAATCTTATTTTTCTGGTTTAAAGAAGAAAAGGGACATCCAAATTCTTTTTGCCATCTCCAACGTACAAAAATCCGGCATCCGGGGTTTTAACTTTATGAAAGAACATCATACCAGGCCAATAGAGGCTTTTTAAATACGCTACGGTGCCCACGTTCTCCATTGATAAATTCCAGCACCCGCTCGGTATGTCCATGTCGATGGAGTCTAAAAAGTCCATACTCAAATTATAATCTGCTCGGGTTAAAATGTTTGTATTCCATTTGTGTTGAGCGGGTCTTATGTGCAAATAGGACTTCAGCTGCTTTGCCTCTGGACCCGTAAGCCCATAGAAGTTAGGACTGATGACAACGACGCCGTCGGGCCGCTTCACCAGCTGCCCTCTCGCGCACACTTCTGCCTCCTCACTGATGTTGCTGATAGTCGCGGCGAGTCTCTTCTCCTCTTTCATATTTTTGCAACGCTCGGGGTCACTTTGGTCGAGTGCTTCGTCTAAAACTTTGATCTTCAGAGATATGTCGCCACGAAACGGTGTGTTCGCGATCAAAGAAAGAAATTTATACTTCTTTCTCGCCTTCGGAAGCAGTCCCCAGAATTTGAAATCGGTCGTGTAAAAGTATTTTCGTTCGTTGATTGCGTCCCGATTTATCCCGACGGCTATGTAATAATCCCGGTCGACGCCGTATATTTGTCCCCAGTACTGCATGTGGGTGAAGTGGTTCTCCACCTGCAGCATGGTGAGGGAGGTCTGTAGCATTGAGATCAGCTCGTTGGTCAACATCACGCCGTTCACCTTTACGTACTCCCTGTACTCCCACAGCTTGTGAACGTTCATGATTCTCAAGTTGTATTATTCGAAAATAAATTAAATATTTCAAGGTGACATCTGTCACAATTTTTTTTAAATCTCTGTGGTTGTCGGCACAGGATGTCATAATCCTTCGTTGTAAGTCATCAAACAAGTATTCTATCCATCCATCATTTTGTAAAAAGTTTGAATTTTGAGTTGACTAAATACATTTTCCTCCAAGGTGTGTTTTGTATAGGTACTCGTAGATGTTGTCTCAGCTAGTGGGCAATCGGTTCGGCGTAACGCGAGCCATGTTCTCGTGTGGCAATTACTCCAAGTCAAATATTTGCGGGTCCTCCGGCGCTCGTAACTTGTAACACTATTCCAGGGTACTTCACGAATCGGATGGTAAAGTTTGATGCACACTATAAGATATTTTTTTTATCGAATAATCTAATTATAAAGATTATAACGGTGACTTTTCAGTGTAAAATATGTGTAATTTCATCATTGCCTCCGCTCTCGTTCCATTTTGGAAAAAAGTAACAAATAAGTCACGAAATTAAAGAAAAGGTGCTACGATATGTTCTTGTAAACATTTTTGCTAATCTTCTAAATCCGTTGAGTCGTTCTGTAGAAACCTTTAATAAATGACTGTCATTTAAACTAAACTTTCGTGTTTATAAAATTAATATGATGTAGGAAGTAAGATAAGATGTAAAAAAGGTATCGCTTGTGTGCACCAAGCTTTATCTGCTGTAACTCGGTAACAGTTGTCAGGTCGGGAAAAATTGGCCGCTGGACGAATAATTTGAGATCCAATTTATTTATTTTCTCGTATTGAAAAACAGTGTCGTCTTGCTTGTTTATAGGCTAGCGGGTAATATTTATATTAGTGCCTACTTCGTACATATTACGTGTTTTTTTTTTAAATGAAAGTCTTCTGTTGTAAAATATCAAGACGGTTAAGAATTACGATGTAGTAAGTATATTTCGATATTTACAAATTATAATTATTATTGATTTTTGTAATTTTGCGAGTTTGATTTCAGTTCTTCAAGTTTGCTACTAGACAATAGATGGCGCGGTTAGTTTACATTAATAAAACTACCGCTAGATGGCAATAGGTTATTCGTTTTATGAAAGCTTTACCGATGTTTTTAAACCGTGCTTTTATGCTGCCGAAGCACACACACAAAAGATGTTGATCATTTAGATTTTTAAATCTTTAGTTCTTCAAGTAATATGTGACGACAAGATGTTTCAAGCTTAAATATTTAGACATCCTTACAATGTACGAGTAATAGCGTAAACAATATACTTTAAATTCTGTAGTTTCTGAAAAAAAGAAAAAAATTCCTAGACAAGGAAATATTCCATCGGCTTTCTATCCATTTTTTATTATAAACATTAAATAAAAAAAGCACCCTCACAAAACCGATGTACGAAAAAAACCATTTTGCACAGATAACGTGAAAACGGTTGTCTATTAAACAATGGATGTAAAGTGTGACACGTGCTGCAATTAGCCTCTTGCACCTCTGAGAGGTTAGGTGGGCGCGATTTGACACGCGCCGTGCTCTGCGTCCCTCGCACTCCTCTCCCGCTCCTCTCCCGCACAGAGAGACCGCGGACGTGCGATCTCGGTGCGAGATAGACGCGGCTGGGCCTCGTTAGCACGTGCTGTCACGCGTCACTCGGGGAGGATCCGGCGACATTACACCTGTGACAAGAACTGAAGAGCCATTAAGATGAATCAAAATAAGGGTGCGGTAACGAAGTACTAATGCTTCGTATTATGTGTAACTTAAGATATCTCTTACTGAATTTCTAGGAGACCATTTATCGCAATATAAATTGTCATAAATTATCACGTTTACTAAAGATATAGTATCGATGTTAAAGTATTTTAAGTGTGCTTTTTAATATTGGAATTTATTTTGCTTATAAAACCCCAAACCTATATGTTGTACTACAGCTTCCGTTACCAAATTTGTTTCAAATAATCCCAGATCCCAGAAGTTAAATGAAGTCATTGAGTGAACAAAAATGGTATTGACAGCAATCAAGTCATAAAAATCCATATCTGTTCAAAAAACTCGACAAAATACACGCCATTTGTTCAACAGCAGTCAATTTGAACTACAATGAAAATATTTTTCCACGCCGCAAACACGTTTGTTTGCTAAACAAAGGCTCTGACAAATTTGATCTGAGGTGAACAATGAGGTTAATTCGCCAGAAGCGAGCCACGATTCAGTATCGCAAATCGAGTGTCCGCCACACCGTGCCCTCCCCGCGACAACCCCGCGCCGCGCCCGCCGCCACGCCGCGACAGCCGACCGAGTGAGCAATCTCAATGAATCCGTCCAAAAACAATAAAACCGTTCCCACAACCGCGCCCCGGGCCGACCCCATGAGACCTTAATCACCCCATTCTCTTTATTTTTTAACGTCTAATTGTTTTGGAACGAGAGGTTGGCTGCGAGGCCCGCGGGCGTCGCTGCGTTCAGAAACGATACGCGACGCCGCTGCGCTCGCGCACCAAACATAAAGAAAACATCGCTCACATGAATGGCTCCCGTAAATTCGTTACAGTTTGCCAACATTCACTATGTTTGTTTTAGAGATTACATTTTATAATAATACACAATAATAATAGCCGGGTTTCCTTTTGTGTTTTTTATTTTTGAACAAATGCATTGTAAAGTGTTTTACATAATATGATCATATCGTAAAGTTAAAAGGAACCGAATTTAAAATAGTAAAAATACAATTCACCTCCTAATCTTGGAATTCTATAAAGATTTGCTACTTGTATTGAATGATCACTGTAATAATAAAAAATCAAAAGGGACTTGCGCAAAGAGCCATTATTTCCAACAGTTCAATTAACACAAGAAAGAATCGAATCACACGTAAACATTTAATGACCGCTCTCAAAACCCATAAGCTGTAAAAAACCGAATAATTCCCACAATCGAATATTATAAATTGCAAAATTCGAGTGCTCTTTTCCCACAATTAAAGCGCATAAGAAAAGAAATGAAATGACGAAAGCTGCGAGCGGTCGAGTGGCGATTTCCGAACGGTTACTTACAAAAGGGCGGGAATATTGGGTGTTTAATCGCGAGTGAGTGGGTCGGGGGGCGAGGGGAGCGCAGGGGGCGCGGGGACAATGGCGCGAATCGCAGATTAAGGTTATTTGTGCTAAACAGCGCGCCATTGTGCGTGCTCGCGGCCGCGCCTCGCTGCTCGCTGCTCGCAGATCGATCGCAAACTCGCGACCGGCTAATTGCTCGTTGGCGGCGATTATTGTGCTTTATACGTTGTTAAGACGCATGCACTCACTGCCTGCTCACTGAACAGGCTTTGACATATTTTATTTAATTTGTCTGAGAAAATCTCACGATTTCATTAAGTGGAATATAGTTTTGAATATGATTATAAATATAGAGAGCTATTATAATGCATAAGTATTAGCAAAATATGTTCGGATGGATAACATATTTTTTAATTAATTTAAAATAATGAAATCAAGCGTATAGTAGGTACAAAGGTATTATATGACATATAATTTTTGTCGGTATTCTCTCGCATTTGAGTCTTGTCGCAGAGTAGATACTGTGGTTCTTTTTAGAAAACGTCTCCACTCCTCTTTATATGCAGCTTTCTTTATCTATCAGGTGGTAAATAATTATTACAAGTAATGAGTTATTTAAGCTGATGCACGATTATACAAAGAAGTTAATAAAATTGATAAATTATTTGGTAAACGTAGTTCTCACGAGTATAATTGCTTGAGTAAACGAGTAATGTAAGAACATCCCGCAATTTGACTAATGATTTATTTGTTGTAAATCCTTGTTAGTAATGATTTAAAAGAGCGTGTGTATGTTGCAATTATTGTGCGGATAACGAGTTGTTGCAGTGCGGGGCTGCGGGCTGCGGGGAGGGAGAAACAAACAGCTTCCCACTGAGAGGTCGCGTGCCGGAGCGCGCACGCCAGCGTCACACTGACCAATAGGGCTGCCTACCATTGTATCAATACAGTATCGATATTACGTCACATGAAGTAGAAGTTGATGTAAATTTTTAACTTTATTCGATAGATCATAACAAAGTAGATTTCAAAAAACACTTTAAAAATCTATACTAGTTAATATATAAAGACGAAAGATTTGTTTTTTTGTATGTATTGAAATAACTCAAAAACTACTGAGCTGATTTCAAAAATTCTTCCACTATTAAAAAGCTACGTTACCAGTAAGTAAGACAGTCGATATTTTTAAATTTCACGCGGGCGAACTCGAGAGCAACAGATAGTATTAGTACATAAGTTATCCAAAAACATCGTAAAAATGTTGTACATATCTTTGCGATATTTCTTTAGGAGTCGAATTATGAATATTTTTAATAGCTATTTTTGGTATCGATATTATTGCTTAACGTAACTATGTAGAACATAATTTGAATTATTTCATGTTGAAAGATAAACGAGTGTAACGGTGTTGCCAAACGAAGAGCGCGGTGTCGACGTGACGCAGGGCGCAGGCCGGCGCAGGGTCGGCGCAGGGCGCGGGGTTGCAACAATAATTGGCGCCCCGCGGCCGCTGCGCGCGCTAATGTTTTGATAATGACGAGCACCATTGTCCCCACTGGGAAGGATTAACCTCTTTGTTTTGCAATTTGTATGTTTTTTGTGGGGGCGACACTATTTTATCTAAATAAATGACAATTCCTCCATGTTCAATGGTTTTATTTGATGAATTTTGATTTTGTATAAATATTATTCGATGTAATATCATTAAAAAATTAAAAAAGACTCGATAAAGTGCTATTTTTATAACAAAGTATGCGATCATGCGACATTGTCAGCGTATGATAGTGAACTTGGTCAGTATTCATTTCAATTAGTCGATACTTCTGTTATGTTGAAGCAAAACAACATAGTAACAATATTCTGGTCATATTTTATACATCTATTAACACCGCATCAGAAAGAAAGTTTTGTTTTGACGTTTGATAAATCCGTGAGATCTCACTCGACTTGTACAGCGGCGGAACGACGGACGTATGCATCAGTATTCTGTGTTCCCAGCCACAACACATCTACCACACACGACATCTATCAACAACCACTAACTC